GGTTCGTTTCAATTATTAGCTAACTGCGCACGAATCTTTTTTTCTTTTCTCTTTTTTAAAGCAGCCAATATTTTGCCGCAGTTGAACGATGCTCCATGCGCGTTTCTACGCGAAGATATAATGATTAATAGTTTTTATCGACAAGACTTTTAGCAATGCCGCGGGATTCGCAATTACACGAGAATTCTCTCGAGAATCGATGATATGTTAATGAGGTTATAAATATTTATGCCGCGCGCGAAGGCCGGTTCGCGATTGTCACTGGATTAAGAGTGTCATCTGTATTAATAGTTAACTCGCGGCTTTTCGAAGGCTTCTCGCGAGGCCGGTGCGGACGGCTCCTTTACGGTCGGGCGAATTTTTGACGATCGCACGGGAGGAGTTCTCTCTTTCTCGGCTGGCATATTAAAGCGAAACTCGGCTGGCATATTAAACGTGCCGCTTTTCCCAAGCCGCGCGATAAACTTCGAAAACGTTCAGCGTACGCGCGCGCGCGCCACTACACAATAATTATAGCGCGCAGGTAAGAAACAAATTCGCCGGAAATTAGAAGGGAAATGGGCCGCAGTAATTTGAAAACGCAGCCTCGTAAGCCTCGAATAAGTTCAAGCGTTTGGAATACTACTTTGCGCGTTACTGCCGCGCAATCTCGGATCTCGGGAAATTGTTACGAGCTTTTTCGGAATCTCTCCGAGCCCGGCTGTTCATTCTGAGAGCGTTAATACTCACGAACCTCGTGCGTAACTAATTCCGTAACGAATATATTACGAGAGGCCACTTGCTCCTCAAGCCCGCGGCGATTCTACGTTTGCTTTGTAATCATGGCATTGAATACCGTGACGGTCACTCGTGACCTGCCATGTAATACTGACCCGTCTCTTTCATATATACAATCAACAATAATACTTGGACTTTATTCAATTGTAATTAATCCTCCGTGTGACTCGCTGTTTTTTGCTAACGCCATGTGCTTCTTCCGCTTTGTATAAATAAAAAAAATCGTAAACAAATATTTTTACATTATTTCAGATCTACGCTTTCTATTATGAACGTTGTTTAACGTTATTTAATTTCAATGTTATTTATCATCTTTTTTCTTTTAGGAAAACATGGAAAGAAACGGTATTTCTACTTAAAGGAAAAAATTCATAATTTTCGAGCGCGTTGAACAAAAATGAAATTCCTGTAGGTTCACATTTCTGTATAAATAATCCTTGATAAAAAAGAAATAATTTGGCGAGGTCCGCTGAAAAAAATATAATTATTTGGGCAAATGGAAATTGTCACTTTTCGTGTATCGAAATAAAGCAGTATTTGAAAGAAATGAATGAATTCAACTTTTATCTGAAAGATTATTTTGAATGAAATAAATATAAGATAATAATAATAAATTAACATTAACAAAATAATAGAAAACGTCGGACACGCGATCTTGAGAGTTCGAGACTTTCGCAAAGTTCTCGGCGCATCGCAAAGGGAGATCTAAGAATCGAGCGACGCAAACAAGCTATTGTGAAATCGGACTCGCACACGATATTTTAAAAAACAAACGTAAGGTGACTCTTTGCGATACATCACAGCATGATGCTTACGAGAAATCTAGGCGCGCACTAGTCCGCAGACCGCGCTTATCATTTTCCGTCTTTTCTCGTTCCTCGTTGGACGCATTTTATTCTCCTACTGCTTACGCGATGCCTTTGATGCAACGCGACAAGCATAGCGCACTTAAGCCGCTTTAATCTCTCGGCCGCAAACATGATTCAACGTCACCAACCTCTCGTCTCACAGTGTATAATAATCTAAACACACAAGGTAGATTTCGATTCGTCGAACTGCGATGTGTCAGCTCCGGACTCCGTTTCGAAAACTGCGTATTGAACGTCGGAGGGAGAAGAACGAGAATCATTCGTTGCGCGATCTGAGACCATGTCGCTTAATACTCGGTTTCACCAGCAGATAAGTTACTGTTAGACGAATCTGTAGAATTTTCTTTTGTGTTGACATCGATTGAGAAAAAGGTGAGTATATCGTATATTGAAGAAAAAGCTAAGTCCGTAAAATGCGATAAAGAACGGCGAAACACGAACTCATTAGGTAAAATGACGCGAAGACTATCGCGGAGGAATGAGAAAAATCAAAACAACTATAACGATATGTCACGATCGATAACAATAAGCAATATAAAGACACTATTACTGAGAAACATCGTTAAAAAATAAACTGAATTAACGAGAAACTAATCGCACGTAATACATTGTTGCAATATCTGGATCAAGGTAAAGTTTCAGCTGGAGAGAGAGAGAGAGAGAGAGAGAGAAAGCGTAGACGTGGAGTGAAAAAGGCGAAAAGCGAACAAGCGAGAAAGAGAAGGAGCCAAAGAAGATAGAAAAGGAATGACAATCTACAATAGCTCTTTTCTCCCTCGTCGGCCTTCTTCGTATCCTTGCCATCATTCTTTTTCTTTGACTCCGCTCGCGATACCATTCCCAAGCTTGCAGCGAGTTACACAGAGAACGGAACGAACTGAAAGAGAAGTGGTTAGAGAGAGAGAGAGAGAGAGAGGGAAGGGGAGAGAGAAAGAAAGAAATAGAGAGAGAGAGAGAGAGAGAGAAAGAAATACAGGGAGTAGCGTTTATTATTAGGTTGCAGGATGCACAGAGGATCCTGCGAGCGCAGCACGCTGTACACGAGACAGCGACGACGGGATTGATCGAATAAACGGAATGCACAATGCTTCCGATGCATTAATCCGGGAACTAGTATTTTGAAGAGGGAAAAATACAGCACATCAGTACTCGCGGCATGCGTATATCGCGCGATACGCATTAGATATCTGAATTCGAGACACGCATCGAGCGAGGATTACGAAGATTAGAACGTTCCACGGTCATCGGGAGTTTATGTATTATGCATCGGAATACGATAGAGATGCAAAAACAAAAAGAGGAGGAGGAGACAGTTGAGGATGGGAAGAGCGTCTTTACGGGAGATCTTAGTTTACGATATCGATTACGCTACACAGCGGCGCGCTTTCAAGGTGCACCCCGCTAATGCACTTTACGTCACACGTTATCAATTAATTTCGTTACCCTCGCGCTTTCTTGATAGCTCAGGCTTAATTACGTAAAGCAGTATTAGCAGCGGCGAGCCAAGTGTTGCCCGACCTCGCCCGTTGAATTTTATATCAGGTATTAACGATCGTTTATTCATCGTCTAATCTTCGCCGCGGCTTTTTCACACCTCGTCGTTTAAAGTCCGGCAATATAAATTCGCGCGCAGTTTTAAACTCGCCGTGCTAACTTCGGGACTTTCATATTCGCATTAACGGTATGCAATGCGAATGCGGGTAGTTCTGCCCGTGTGCGTGTCGGTGTGCATTATTAGCAGTTACGTGATGTAGTTGCTACAATCCCGCAACTTCGAGCATGAAACTTAAAATAGACATTAAACATGGGGATGCTAATGATATAACACAAAACGCGTTCCGTTTGGATTAGTGGGATATACCCTTCTTATGCGACTCGCGTAAAACCACTGGATTTACGTAACATGGCTCGATATGAGGTCACAGATTCTTAAATGATTAATGAATAATTATATCTCTGAGCGCAATTATCGTATTAATCAAGATTGCGGGAGAATAATAAAAGAAAAAAAAAAATACAATCAAATTAAATGCCAAGTATTAGTCTTTTCGATGACAATAATCAGTTATTTATTTATTAATATTCTTCACTGTGCATTGCTTATTCACACTGACACACCAACTGTATTTATGAACAGCCACAGAGATTCTTAAGCCGAGTGCCGATGCAGTCATCGTGCCACAAGAAACTCTTATAGTCTCGTATTCATGAAGCACTACTTATCGTCGAAATACAATCATTATTATAATTATCGTTGTCGTGAATTTCTTGCGTTATTCGTATGATATAACACTCCGTGTGGCAAGGGCGGAGACTCAATTTAGACGTTGAATTACAGAGTAAAAATTATTATTAAAAAATTATTTAAAAATTCGCTCGTAAAGCATTTGCAACATATTTTCTTAACGCGATGTCGTTATTATAAAACTACCGTCTCGTTATTATAAAAAATAATCTTAAAATCAATGTTCAAAATCTCTCTCAACCCAGCTACAAAAAAAAACTATGAAAAATTAATTTCTAAATAATGAAACATAATAAATTTTTGATTTTTTAAAATTATTATATTCGTTAACAATTTTCATTTTGTTTTGCAAAATGACCAAATATTACTGCTGAGTATTTAAATCAAATAAAAACACCGCGTGAAAGAAAAATGCCTAAATTGGAAGATATTTTAATTCATAAATTTTACTATCGCAATAATTGTTATTAACTGCTCGTATTTAATTGTTTACCTAAAACACCGTTGTGTACGTGCACGATCCACCAATATTCAAATATCAAATGAATTCGGGGCACTTCCTAAATAATAGATCCACGTATCATGAAATCGTGATTACTGTCTCTGATATATATTGTACTTTTTTTATCCCGCATACGAAATATCATTAACGACCAATGTAATAAACGTCAAACACTATTCCTTCCTGAAACGCCATTTACAAGCGTGTGTTTTACCAGATAGAGAATTTCCCTCATCAAATGTCACTAAGTAACAAAACATAATCGGACGAAACAGCGGTCCCTACTGACATTTGAATGGATAGAAACGAAGCATATCGCGTCAATGACATTCGCAATTCATACGCGAGGTGTTGGGTGACGTAAACATTCCCTATTCTGAAAATCAGACGAGCGCGAGCGAGCGACGAGTCATCTGACGAATAAAAAACGCTCATAACAAACGACAGAGAGAAAAAGAGAGGCGTCCTTCGAGCACTTCGAAGCGTGACACAAACACCTACTCGTCAAAGACGAGCTACCCTACAATTCGTACAATATAGACAGATAAAACAAACATATTACGCGCTCCGGGAAGAATATGTCAAGCGCCGATTGCAACAGACTCACCAGCCAGTGGTACATGCCGACGGCTACCGATGTCCCGACGTCGTCTCCGGCGGTATCCTCCCGCTGGTCGAAGTCACTAACAAGAAGCCCGTGCACATCACCCATTCCGAATCCCGGCTGGCGCGCTTACGACAAACAACGAAAACTTATCCGTCGCACTCCCGGAGGTCGTGCTACGTACCGCTACGGGCGATGCACGTACACACGCGCGCGACGAGAGAAAGAGAGAGAGAGAGGTAGAAAGATAGAGAGAGAGTGAGAAAGAGAGAGAGGCGGAGAGGAGAAAGAGAGAGAGAGAGAAAGAGGAGACGGGCGGAGGACGAGAGGCGAACGGCGGCGGCGACGACGACGGCGACGACGGTGGCGTGGTGTAGTCAGGGCGGATGCACCGGGTGCCTCGACGATCATCGCGTCATGTCTCGGAGCGTGGCGGCCGGCCGCGGCCGCAGGCGACAATCCCGAAACTGCATTCCTCGCTGGAGGCTGCCGGTGCTAGATACTGCCGCTGGCTGCTTCTCCTCTTCTTCGTCCGAACTCGCGCCGCGAGAACTCCTACTCATGTGTCGCGCGCTCGTTCGCTCCGAGTCAAGGCGCGCGCGCGGCTTCTCACGCACGTCGAGCCACGCGCCGAAACGGGAACGAAATTCGGAGCCTTCCTCCTCCTCGGAATGGTCTCGCTGTTCGTATTTTCTCGTATCCTTCACTCACTGTCCAGCACTCGCGTTCATTCGCCGCGTTGAAGCTCACGTTTGGATCTTACGACGGGCGCGCTGGTACACACGAGACGCGAATGACCAGGCAGCGGCGTCCGTCTACCTCACACACAGTGTCACGGTGAGCTGCGAAGAGCGAACTGTGGTCTGCCGCACGAACTCGGCTCGAGTCGGCGCTCCGGCGGCGCAACACGATGGCGCCACGGCGAGTGCTCGACTGACAGTGTCGCGCTGCGCCGCCATCGGCGGCGTGCGGTACTACGCGTCGTGTCAACGGCTCGCGGCGATACGAGGGGGCAGAGGATGCCGAGTTTACGTGTGGTCGTATGTGTGTGTGTGTAGAGTGTCGAATACGAGTGTATATACCGTGCCTCACGCGAATAGGCGGTGTCGCGGCCCCAGGGCCGCACGGAGCGGCCTTTCTGCAGGGGGTAGCAAATGCGGATAATATGCAGCTCTTGGTGCGCGGGAGAAGCTGAGTCAAGTATGTTTCGAAGGACAAGAAATGCTTGATTCAATCTCGACCTTCGCGCGTCCTTTCGATGATAGTCCGCCTAATTCGTGCGACTCGGCAGTTTGGTCGGCGACTATGCGTCGCGTAAAAGCCGGAAAAAGCTCGAATTCAACAGGAAATCATGGACAGGTCTCATTTCCCTATTGGATACGAGATGCGTTGCGAAATTTATCGAAAAAAAATGTTGCCATTTTTTTGTAACTGACTGAGCGCCATGTTTGACCAGCTTCGGTTATTAAACGGCGATCGACCGTTATACTTGTCCGTAGATTAGCACTGCCCGGCATTCGAACAACGATTCTGAGATATTGCTCGAGTTCGGCAAACGCTAATATCTATCTCGCGCACACGCATTATCACTTTCGTGACAATAATTCGCCACTTTTCAACACTCCGCGATCGCGAGAAAGCGAACGCGTATCGATTCCGTATCACGCATCCGCCATGACTGTTTTATCCGTTCGCGTCGTTAGGTTACTTCGCGCTATACGACGTGAGTCAAAATAAAGTCCGCCCTTTTCATTCCGTAATTTGTAATGATAATTTCATTATCATTAACGTGTGACCGAATTTACTTTTCTCTTTTTCAAAGGATGGTCGTGAAGACACTTCTCAAAAATCGGAGCACAATCAAGAAAGACCTAATTCTATTAATACATATACCATTCTTTAATAGAAAAGACTACAAAAAATAAATATCACATATCTCTCCTTATGCTGAGCGGTCCCTCGTTCTAAATAATAATTGGATAACTGCACTGGTGACTGCAGAAAATCGCGACAAATAAAGAATTGGACATTTATACTGCATTAATTGGAGCGATTATGGTTGATCTTATTGTTTCAATATTACGACTGGATCGAGCAGTGAGAGAGAAAGACAGAGAGGGACGATCTAACGACTGAGGTCTTTATCTAGCCAATCACGTGATCGGTGTCCGCGAATCAGAGACGGTCATTGCGGATCAGTCGACTTTTCTTGTTGCATCGTGTCGAAATTGTAACAGTTTCGCCTCGCGTCTTTCGCGGAAAGAGCGACTCGCGCGCGTTAATAATGGAGCGAACGAACGTTTCGACGAGTGTCAGGAGTATCGAGTGGTGTGCGCGGCGTACTAATCAGCGCGATCGTCATTAATACTGCAGTATCGTTCGGCGATATTCGCATCAAAACTTCCACCCAAATGGCGTCTGTCGACGTTATTTTCGCGCACGAAGTGGATCGCGTGCATAATCGGACATGGCGAGAGTGATTGAATGGACTGTCGACCGTTGTAGCGTGTCAATTAAGGTACGCGCGTTTATGGCTGTTTGTTTACATTACGCGACTCGCACTGAATAAACAGACGCGCGGTGTAGAAAATCGACCGTTGCGCGTCGCGCCGAGTGCCGCCGGGCTAAACGTAAACGTTTTGATTCACGAAATCGCGCGCGACCCACCGTACGAACGTACCACTTAGCGAGCGAGAAACTTGAAATTTTTCGCACGGGAATACGAATACGGAAGTTGCCTGCCCTAAAAACGAAGTTCGTGGCGGTAGTTCGTGCGCCACGAGAAATCACGGAAAAGAGTCAGCGGAAAGTCGAGACTACGCGGAGCCGCCGGGCGAGTGAAGGCGAGTCGTACAGCTGGTAAGTCGCTTATCTCTCTCTCAATGATAGATAATAGAGAAGGTAAGAGCGAGCTAATTTGCCATTTTACCGATGTCGCGTATTCGCGACGTAAGCATAACGGCGCTCGACGTCTCGACATCTCCTACAAGGCGATATCCGCCAGCCATCTTTTTCCATTTCATGTCGGCTGAGTCGCAAATGTAAAAGTAAGAAAATGTAGAAAGCGTTTCTCTTTCTCTCTTTCTCGGAGTGATATGTCAGCATGTCGCTTGAAAAATTAACAGTAATAACGCGTCACGACGACGAGTTATTATTATTCGTCGTCCGCGATATCATTACAAGCTGCCTCACAGCGATGTCGAACACGTAAACGCGAATTATAAAAGACAATTATTGTGAGAAGAAGTAACTAACGTTCGGAAAACAGACGAGCGAGCGCGATAATCAATTGCGATGATGAATGAGAGTAACGAAAGTTCTCTTCGCGCTATTCCCCGATATTTTCTCCTATCCCCCTCTCTTTGTGATTAATTGTACAACTTAACGATTGCATTCAAACGGACGATAGAAACGAATCTTGCAATCGTGTTTCGATTAAATGAGAGCGCTTTTCGGTTATCCGGTAATTGCGTGAAATATTAGGTCGGAACACGGGGGTGCTATCATATTTTCTCACGTTTGATACGGTATCTGATGCAGCTATTTGCGTAAGTGTACTCACATAGCCTCTCACTTTGCTCCACCATTCATTCCGAGCGTAACATGTGTTTTCATAAGATTAACTGGTAATAATATAATAATCATAAATAATAATTATATATATGTATATAATAATATAATAATAATTGACAATAATAATTCATAATTTGTATAAATTATTCATAGTAATACTATTACGTTATCGCTTCAATATTGACAAAAGAAACATTGATCCTTGCAGCGCGTAATTCAACTAATTAAAAGTCGCCGATCGTTGAGTTGAAGCAGTTGTTTTTTTGAAAAATTTCCTAGTAGGATTAGAAATTATATTCGAAGCTTCGAATTTCTGAATCTTTAAATCACATTATATTCGAATAATGAAATTTTGAAATGTGAAAATTCGAACATTCGACTATTCGAATATTGGATATTCAAAACTTCAAGAACTGGAAAGTATATGTGTTCGTTTTATAGACATAATAAATAGTATTTATTGCTTTAAAAAATGTAATCTTTTTTTATATTGCGTTCTGCTGCTACATGACAAAATTTGCATTTATTTTAAAATTAAGTTCAGGAAATTTATTGTTTATATTATTTGTGCTTTCTTCGTTTACTTTGTTTTAAACTAGACAAATATAAATTTCAGAATTGAAGATCCCAAACAACGTGTATATCTAAAAGACACTCCAAAGGCGTCTTATTGTCTAAAAGATATTTTTACGTCTTAAGATGCTGAGTTAAACTGGTATTCTATAATTGCACGTTTTCTTGCGCTCTCCAAAATTAGTTCCATTAACAGCTTCAATATTTCAAATCTTTGAATAAAGTTTGAATCTTCGAATAATTCGACTTCAAATCTTCGAGCTTCGTCGTCAAACGTCGAATTATACTAAAGTTTCAAAGCTTCGAACATATCGAATAGTACTAATCCTATTTCCTACCACTTATAATCGCAGTTTATTTCGAATAAATAGTATTCTCTATAACGTATACGAAGAAATCAATGTTGCCACCTATCTGGTTTTTCAAACGGTTGTCCGGTTTGTTCTGTCCGGTTCTGCCCAGTTTTGTCGAAGTTTGAAAATTGGAAAATAAATTTTCTTTCATGACAAACATATATAACGAAATTTATTTTCTTAGCGCTAAAGGAATGGCGTTCAACAGAGAAAGCAACTCAGTAAGTGCTTAGTGATTATTTCACTGAAAAAAATTGTTACATTTAAGTAAACATTTGTTATAAGGAGTATTAGAGTAGTTTATTTTAATTGGATCAAGTAGATATTACTTGAATGTAGTACTTTTTTTCTTTCAATGTGCTACATTCAAGTAATATTTATTTAATCCAAATAATATAAACCACTCCAATACTTAGCAAATATTTACTTGAGTAATTTTTTTCAGCATATCTGCGACTTGAGTATTCTTTTAGATTTTTGATATATTCAATAGAATGTATGAATCAAGAGCGATAATCATTAAACGTTCAATGCGACTGTGTTCCGATATTTATTGCCAAATTTATAGTCAATAGTATCAAAGTATTACAAATCTATAGTATATGCAACAATTGTTTTTTACTGTAGTGTCCGAATAACTGTTATTAGAAAGGTGGCGACACTGAGAGGAACAACAAAGCAATTTTACAAAACTGACTTTGAACACGGTGAATTTCGCGTCGGTATGCCATGCAATTTGCAAAATGTGCCACATCTGTCCTCCCTC